AAAAAAAACGTAAACGTCAAATTAAGAGATGAAACTGTTCCACCAACTTGTTTTTACCATGATATAACGCAGTTAGTAATTTAGTTATAAAAGCGTAAAACAATAAGAATAGTTTTGAATAAAATTTTTACGGTCTTAATTGCTATTAAAGTATAAAGTCTCATGTTACAGTTATGCAGCAACTTTCTAAATCATTGGTTTTAAGTCACGGTTCAACTGTAAGACAAAAATTTCTTGCTCTTACTAACGGCATTTTAGCTATCTTAAAAATGCTTAAGAATTCTATTGACAGCTATGTGAAACAAGTAGCAAAAAAAGGAGAAAAATTGAAAGAAAAACTTACCACAATTGGTAAACACCGCTGATGACTGTAGGAGAAGTGTTGAACGAAAATGGCGGTGGTGACGATGATGGTGGTAATGGTTATGGTGAAGCCGAAACCACTGCAAAAACGCAAGAAAACTATTATGTTGTAAAATCATAAGGAATTAGGAAAAGTAGAAAAACACTATCTGAAAAAAAAGCTAATCAATTGGTATTTCTGATTCTGTATAACAGTTCACCGGCACTTTTTTTTGGCTTTTCTATATTTAAACTGTTGAAAATTTAAACTTTTTTCAAGTACCAAAACCAGACAGTTTCATTGAGAAAGACAAAGAAATATTTTAGAAGTTAAAAGTGTAAAATGCTGAGAACACTTGTTTCCTTTTTCTACGATAAAAAACAAACTACTTTGCGGTAAAATACCTTGACACCAACCTTATAATTATCACTAAGTTTATTTTTCGCTAATTAATTGAACAGCATAAATCGTAACGATATAAGTGCGCTAAAGTAGCTCCTGACCAACTGTTGCTTCAAAAAATTCTAACGATTAGGTCTATCAATAAGGTTTGATCTTAGCAGAATATCTGAGTGTAAAAACCGGTAACAACGGATGACTGGGAGAAGACAGATACATGCATTTTCTGGTTACGACAGTCAGTTTTTGAATAAGTGAATGTTTTTTGGAACATCAGACAACGGCGACAGCAAATCGAAACAGATTTCAGTAAACGATTTGAAACATTTTCCCTCCCTCTTTCAGGCGATAGTTATGCTTTGGTATATTGGTAAATCTACTAAATACTTGGGCAGCGAAGTTTGAAACTGAGTTGTACGGAAATTTTGTTTAAAAGCAGCGGCTGTTTCAAGAACAGTTTATCTACCTAACCGGCTAAAAAAATTAGTTTTTGAAAGCATAATAACAAGCAAAAAAGCAACTTTTAATTAGTAAATTTATTTCTTCTGAACAAGTCTTACTGAATCCTTGTAGACGTCACTAGCTATATAATACCTTTATAGCAAGCTCAAATTCATTAATTTTTTGTCAAGTTAAAGCCATTTTTTCTTGAGCTTTTAGCAACTTTAAAAGTTATAACTTTAAATCAGTTCTATAACTTACTTTAAAAGCTGTTATTTTTGCATAGATTCAACTACTACAGTTGTAACCGCCTTTTTATATTCAATATTTTTGACAACTTTCTTTTTTCTTTTAAATTGCTAAACCTTTCTTTAATCTAATCAGTCACTAGAAAAAAAAGTGCTAAATTTTTTAATTTATGCTTATCAGAATAAATATAGTCTTTGAGAAAAAGAAAATGTGAAAAAAAAGGCAGTGTTTTGGTATTAGTCATCAGCGGTTAGGCATTGTACAGTGCTACTTTTCAGCCTTATAAAATGAAGAAAAACAAATCAATTTGTTAAAAAATTTTTGCTGTGTTTTTACCCAATCGATGACATTTATTTTTTTACAACTTGACAAATTTTATTCGCCTAACAATATGATAACACAGATACGTTTACGAATAATTTCTCCAACAGTTAATGATCGTTTAATGTTAATATGTGTGTCATTTCGATTAATGCCATAAAATTTATTCATTTTTGAACAAAATAAGTTTAAGCCAGTTAAAAATACTATAATAGATTTAATTGCATCTAGTTTAGTTTCGTCTTTTAGACAGCTGCTAAAGATAAACGTCCCCTTGTTATTTGTCTTTTCTATCGCATAGTTCAGCAGCAGCAGTAGCAGCAGCAGCGGCGACAGCAGCATTCCGCAACCCAAATAACCTTTTGACAGTGTAAGACAGACAACAATATTTAACGTATCGCAGTCTATAGAAGAACAGTCCTACACTTGTTGAATTTTTCAAAGAACTTTCTTTGAAAAACTAAACTTATTTACTTTTAAGAAGCAGCATGTGCTTGAAATTCGGGGTATATTTTCATTTTATATTAGACGCCTTGTCAACATTGGTACAGAATTTAATATGACCTTTACAGATGATTTGTCAAACCACTGTTGAAGCAATCTTTGACTTTTACGAAAATATGGTTCATGATCTATCACTCTGTAATCTGAAGCCTTCAATTACCAAGAGTGTGGTTTACAGTTCTGCTTTGATTTCACTGCATCACCGAGGAAGAAACAACAGAATAATTCTTTCAATAAAACTGTTATCTTTTTATGCATTTATTTCCAGCAACTCTTTTTCTCATTTTGCAGTTTATAACTTTTTAACAAGGAACAATTTATTAATTAGAACAAAAAACAAACAACTTCCGGCAGCTTTTTTTTTGAAATATAAAGATAAAACAATGCCATCACAGTTTCAGCGAAGAAAACTGCAAAAAAAAAAGACTCAAAATGAAAGCATCATGAGGAATTCGGAAATCGCGCAGGCACTCATCCTTTTCAGACATTACATTCTCAAATTATCAGTAAGAAAATCTTTCCAGTCTCTATTATCAGAAAACAAAATTAGTCTTACTTGAATACTAATAACAGGTAGATTCGTTTCTTCTTTTTTTTTTTTTACTTAATTTTTTAAACTTACTCGTATTGCAGTTACACCTGAAAAACAGAGTGTTCTTCAAATCTGGTCTACATTATAAACTAAAAATTGAATACGTGATAAAACAATAACTAAAATATTACATTTATTGTGATGCTTTTTCAACTGTGCATTGGTTTAACAGCAAAAAGCCAAATCCAGTTATGATTATCATCAGCAATATAACCCAACTTATCGTTCCACCCCTCAATCAGATCTGCATATTTTTTTTCGCTGAATCTCTAAAATTATTCATTTGTTGAATCGATAAATTAAACGAAAGATTCTGTTCAGTTTCGCTGTTCTGCCAAACTGTGTGTCAAATTCGTCATTAACAATTCCATTCCGAGAAGGTAAAAAAAAAATCAAAAAAAAAAAAGAAAATTTTTTTCTGTATATATTAAAGGCATATTCTTGTAAACACTAAGCGTTTTTGTCTGTTTCCGTTTTGCAAAACAAAAAATCATTTGGCACGTAGTTAATTGCAACATTTGAAGTCTCAACAACTTTCTAAACGAAAATTTTTGCCTCATAAAAGACTAATGAAATATTACCTTCAGAAACTCTTCCTTATTCTCAACAGCATTTTTTAGTTCTTGTGTAAGAATCTGTTCAAATCGTGGGGTTATATTTTTGCCTTCAACATTCGCAAATTTAGCATCTTTAAGTGCCTAAATTTGAAACTTCAATAACTTGATAATCGTAGTGGCAAAAAAAAGCTAGAACTTATTGCCCTGCTTTGATTTATTCAGACAACTGATTGGTAATCAGCATAGTAAATGTGAGAAAAAAACGTTTTCTAACCGTAATCATCTGTTCAAGAGTCTTCAAATAATAATGTCGCTGTTGAACATAATTTTGAAATTTAGTGCTCAGTTCACCATGTCCTTTTCCATACATCGTTATTAATACTCGCCCACCAGGTTTCAGCCATCTCTAAATGTACTCTCATCTATTTTTATTACAGCACTAAAAACCTTTCTTTGCATCACCAAACAGATTTATCAAATTCCTGATGCAAAACTGCAAAAAAAAAAAAAAAAAAGAATAACAAGAAGCTGTAGTTAAAGTTAAAAATTTTTTTTTTAAAGTCTTGGAGGTACCATAACACTCGTATTTTTTTTGACGTTTCTTCTCAAAAAAGAAACTTGTAAGCTCTTTACCCATTGTTTGAAGCTTACGTAGATTTTTTTCATTAAAGAAGGCATATCATCGTTATGTTGGAGGCAGTCACGGCTATACACAATATCAAAGGTTTCGGGAGCATATTCGCATTCCATTACATTTGCAAGGCTGTACCTGACTCGTGTATCTTTATCTTTTTGCAACCTATCCATAGCTACAGACAGCATATTTGAACTTAAGTCAAGACCAAGGACATGCAAACCAAACTCCTATAAAAATTACAATTATTTCACACATTTTACTGTTTTTTGCAAAAATTGACACTTTTAAACAGCATGTTTATTTAACACTTACAGATGCTGCTTGTCGAGCACCTCCACCAATACCAACTCCAATGTCTAACATAGATTGCCCGGCTTTCAATTTTCCAAGCTGTTTCAAAATGGCTAAGTTTTCTTTGGCTCCACCTAAATAAGAAATCATTGCTTTAAGAATCAGTTGAGTTACTTAAACTGTCGACTAAAGTGAAAAAAAAAACGAACCTGGACTAATAAAGTTATCACCAAATATCCACTCATAAGCAAAAATACCAGTATTTGTGTATTGAGTTTTGTCCAGAAAATCGCGGAAAGTTATTATTTCTGCATCATTTTTTTTAACGTATTCTCGTTTTTTTAGAACCCAGTAAAGATCCATAAAATTTTGTTTAGCCTACAATATAATTGGCCAATTAAGTTTCAAACAAAACAGTGTTTTTGATGATTAAATTAGAAGTTAAGAAACTAACACAAATAGAAGCATCAATCTGTTTCAATACTTTTAAATCAAAGCCAACATCTACATCTTCTTGTGGCAGCCTGTGAACATCTAAAAGTTTTGTCAAAACTGTAACCTTCTCCGTTGCTAGATATCCATCTGAAATGCAAAAAAAAGAAAAGTCTTTATCAATACGATGACAAACTGTAGTTCTTAAACAAGACAAATGCAAAAAAAAAAAAAACAGAAAAAATCTCGATGCAAATTGAACTTACTTAAATCTTCTCTGATAAACGCTGTACCACCAACTTTTAGTACACCTAAGCAAAGCTGAACAAATTTTTTCAATTTGGCTAAGTGATCGATTATCTGCAAGTACATTTATCATAGTTGCATTTTTTTTTAACTGATCTAGCAATCTAAATATATCTATAGTACTTTTTTCTGCAAACCTTTTTTCTGGCTTTAGTTTTATTCAGCATCAACTAATAAAGTGAATGCAAAAAAAAAAGGCAGAATGACTCTGTACTTTTGATAGAGCATTCTATGTTCTGTGTTATGATTCTCAATAGTATTCCCATCGGTCAACTGACCAGAAAATTTTGACTGTTGAGATAGCTGTATCCAATACTTTTAAAGTTCAGCCAGCAAATTTCAAAAATAGAATGAAAAAAAAAAAA